CTGCTCTGTTCAAGGCCTGCTCTTCCCTGGACTCTCCACTTCCATGGATAAAAAACTCAGAAGCATCAACTTGAAAGTAGTGGTATGCTCCATGCAGCGCCCTGATTTTAACAGAACTGGGCCTAGAACCTGCAGGGAAGGCATCTGCCGTGAAAGCCAGCATGGCCTGAGTTTCAGCAGGGTGCTCTGCTGGCTTGGGCCACCCACGAGTCATGTTCTGGAATGGCACCAACAACAATCTGGAGGCAACTCCTGCTGTGGAGCTGCAGGCGGGAAAGCACAGCAGCATAGAGGCTGCTCTACCTCACTTACTGCATGACTAGTACATGCAGCACCAGTAGGGGAAAAAAATAACAAGAATCTTTAACAATGCATTTGGCATTGTTAATACCCATCTTAAGTTGTGCGCCAACTTTAACCATACAGACTGACGTTTTCCAAGTTTGGTGTCTGCTCAAACTTCTTGGAAAATGTCAGCCAACGATTCAACTATTTCTGAAAGAAAATAGCTAACCACGTTAGAAAAGAAGAAGTGACTTTTTTTTTTTGAGCTGCTTTAGCACCCCCAAGCTCTGAAGCACTCACATGACATTTGATAGAATGGCCTTCGCATGTGGGACATGCCAAGTGAGAAGTCTTCAAATTACTTGGTTGATGAAGGTCAGGAGACGCATGTTTGAGTTTATGGCTGATTTCCCCGGGGAAACTGCCTGCAATGATAATGACCCAGCCTCCGGTGAGCCAGAAAGGCTGCAGTTCTCTGTTGTGTGGACTTGGTGCTCACAACAGATACCAGATGAGAAAGATTTGCTTGTGCTCCTCAAGCTCCCCCTGCTTTTCATTCTGTGATTTTCTGACTCGACTTCAATGAGCAAGACAGTTAACTTGACAGTGTTTCCTCATCTCCTTGTAAAATTAATTAGCTAAAACACTGTAATGCTAATGAACTGGAATAGGTTGGGCCTTGAGATTATAAAGGCACTTTCCCTCTCTGTTGAAAGAACTGTGTTCTCAGAGATTAGAGTACAAAAAACCAGCCAAAATAGTAAGAATGTCACCCAATAAAGTAAGAGCAGTTAAAGTAGAGAACTGGTCTGGATCTGGTTGCGTGGCAGACTTATATAAATGCCACTCACAAGAAATGGAAATGAAAAGAAAACCAGACTTAAACATTATGTCTCTCCCATTTGTAGCCGTTTTGATTTATCCCAGTAGTGATGCAAGCATCATATTAAAAGCATTTTGTGGCAAAACTGTGTGCACTAGATTCAAGTCAGTCTTGTAAGAGACTTGTTCCCCTTTGTTCACATCTGTTGAGGTGATCTGTCTTCCTGAAGACCTGCCTTTACTATATTTTCACCCAAACTCTGTTTCTTTAAATGAGTATTTCTATGCATTTACTTAATGCTAAGTGAGCATATGTAATGAAGAGTATTGAGAACAGACCACAGATTTTACATGGTGAAGATTTGCTAATGGAGCTCTCATTGCAAGTTACAAGCACTGACTCTTCCATGTATGAGAACACAGAAATAGATACTGATTTCTTTCTACCAGGATTTGGTGATAATTGCATAGTTTTCTGAGATTCTCACACTGTACTCAGCATCAGGAATACAAACAGGAGCAATGGTTAATTTATTAAAATTCACAAGCCAAGTTATGCATGCTTCTGCAGTTCTAATTGCTTTTATATACCTGCCTGCACAACTCATAGAACAGTGCTTTAGAAATGTACTTTTATTAACCATACTTAGTTTAGTTCCTACTCTTTCACCACACTAAAGGAAAATGAAGATTTTTTCTTTCCTTCATATTTCTAATTTCACCCACCAGTTCAAGTCTGAAATGCAAAGTGACAGCAGTCCAACTTCTTGCATCAAAAGATGACAATTCCTGTCACACAGTAAAAGACTACTTATGACTGAGAGGGAAAAGTCTGCATCAGCTTATGAACTCTGTGTTCTTTCAGCATTAAAAATTATATGGGGATAGCACAATACAAAGGACCAGAAGTAAATAAAGTTTCTTATTCAGCACGGGATACATAGGATGTAAAGCAAATTGCTACAGCAGCTGATGGGTACCAATATTTTTCAACTTCAGTCCAGCTGAATTCCAGTCAGCACCAGAAAGAGATTTGTTCAAAATCACATCAGTGCACACATAAATTCCAGAGATGTAGGGAGCCACCTTGGGCAGCTGTTTATATTATTGTATACTCTTCTGCTCTCATTCACAACTTAATCCATCAGTCCTTGCTGCAGGTTATGTGTGTGCAACTGCCAGGACTGCGCACCTGGTGTTACTCTACACCCAAGCACCAGGTCCTCTTGGGAAAAGTGACAGATCATCTTTTACTTCCACTGTGCTCTCCTGGTTTATAAGAGCTCTGAGGCAGGAAGCTTCTCTGGGTGCAGAAAGATAATCAAACAGAACTGCACTGTTCTTGCCCAGAGCTACCAGAGCAGAGACACACGTGATGCTCTCAGAAGGCACAGCCATGTCACAAAGAAGGCTTGTGCTTTGGGAACATTACACTCCAGCCAGTCTAGACTCTGCAGCAGGCCATAATGGCTCTTGAAGACCTCCTGAATTCAGGGAGGAGACTGGTAGTAGTACAGAACCACCCTGATTTCCACTTGCGATGTTCTTCCTAAAAGCATCTTAAATCAACAGACCTCTAGGTTTACAAGCAACACAGTTTTTCTTCTCAGATGATCCCTACTCATAAATTTTTACCTCTGACATAACTCGTTTTATACATCCTACAATTCAGTTCTTCAGAAGAGTTGGGCTTTTCCCTTCAATTAAAAAAGAATATTAATAAAATAGAAGCCAAGAGTTCTGAAGTCTTATCAGATAAGCAACAGGGCTAAGAATGTACATTTTCCCATGTTTTTTCAAAAAATATTTCCAGTGAAATTTTTACTGCCAAGACATAGAAAGCATTCTAAATATCAGCAATTCACTAGAAGAGAAGTCTGAACTGCATGAAGTACCTTTTATACTGTGATTGTGTTGGCTTAAGATCATTTCAGGGCAGATTCTTCACCACCTGGTACTCCGTTGGACTGGTGAAACCAGCATCTCTATAGGCACCTGTAGAAAAAATAAACTTCATTTTAAAATTCAGTTTTAATGATGCTATACAACACACACTCTTTCAGCAGTGTACCTTGCCTTCTCAGAACCCACTGATCTATACACAGAATGCTCCTGCAGAACTGCTTTCACCTTCTCATCATAATCCCTGAAGCGGAACTTAGTCAAGAAGGAATTGCTGGGGAAATCCTGTTCAGCAGTTGAATAGGATGGATACTCATTCAATTTATTTCAAACAATGAATATAAACACTCTGGACCTTCACCTAGGAGAACATCTGTCCATAGGAAGGCTTTAGATCTCTGATAAGAAATAGGTTTTTCTAGGTTATGATACATTTGATATTTCATTCCAACTTAGGATGAAATGAATCTTTTCTGTGTGATTTGGAGAAGGTTTCTATCTAACTAGCTCACTTCCTAAACTTCAGATGAATTCCCACTCCGATGTCTTCCAACATAAATGAGAATCAGGCTCACCCAGTCTGAATCCATCCAATCAAAATTAGAGGACTGCCTGAAGCCACCAGCACTGTGACCTCTGGTCTTTACACTGTCTCTGTCTCCCCATCATTTTTAGCTTGAATCCAGAGCATACTTTTGAAGTGAATTCCACAAATATACCCAACTACTACAGAGCTTTGATTTGCTTCATGAGCAGCCTCAAGGTGTATCACTGTTTTGTTTTTTGTTCCGGGTTTTTTTGTTTATTTGTTTGTTCATTTTTTATCAAACTGAGCCAGAAGATACACTCCATGAGTATACATAATGTGTTTCTCTCTTGCTAATATGCCTTCAATCTATGGAATCAGACCAGAGGTCATTTAGATTCATAGATTCATAGAATCAATATAGTTGGAAAAGACATCTCAGATTATCTAGTCCAACCACCAACTTATCTCCACCATGTCCACTAACCATATCCCTCAGTGTCACATCCTCCACCACCTCTGTGGGCAGCCTGTACCATTGCCTCACCACTTTCTGAGTTTTTCCTAATATCCAACCTGAACCTCCCCTGGTGCAACGTAAGGTCATTACCTCTCGTCATATGACTGTCATCTGGGAGAAGAGGATGATTCACTTTCAGGTAATTGCACAGAGCGATAAGGTCTCCCCCGAGCCTCCTCTTCTCCAGAGTGAACAATCCCAGTTCCCTCAGCTGCTCCTCATAAGGCTTGTGCTCCAGACCCTTCACGACTTTGTTGCTCTAAAGAAATTCCTTGAAGTAGAACACCCTGAAACTTGTGTATTATGAGTGCTACGTCCTCATGACCAACTGTTTTACTATGGATTCATTTCTGTTTTATGGTTAGTACATCTGCACAGCTGTGCTCCAGAGCAGCTTTCTTTTTACATACAGGTGAGAGATAGCAAGCGCCACATTCTCCAGCACCTCCTGAAACAGGCTGAAGCTAAGCCTCTCGCACCCCATGTTAGCACATAACCGCAGCCAGTACCACTACTGCTCCACGAGGATGGCTTCTCCGGTAGTTTGCACGGCGTCCATCCTTTTGCTGAGCTGCATCCAAGAGCTTTCTTCACAACGACACGGATGCAACTGGAATTCACGGTCTCGAGCCGCCGTGCCTGTGCGGTTTGATGTTCCGGCCCTTCTGCGGGAGCTCGACTTCCAAAGCTTAAACCGGCCGTGTGAGCGGGAGCCGCTACCCACTCGTTACTCCGTAGCTGTCCGCTAGCACCCCGCTCCCCGAGGACGGCGTCAAGGCCGGCGGCGGGCAGCTCCCCCGGGACGCCTGGAAGCGAGGGGCTGCGCCCTCTGACGGGCCCGGGCGATGGGAGGCAGCGCGGCGGGGCGGGGTGACCGCCGCCGCTCTAATAAGACCGGGGCCGGCACCGCTCGACGGCCGCTCGCCTCGGTGCCCCGCGCCCAGCATGCAGTGCTTCCCCAGCCTGGTGCTCGCGCTCAGCTCGCTGCTGGGAGCCCTGGCGTTGCTGCAGCTCTCGCTCTACCTGCGGGTGCCGTCCCGTTACGGCAAGCACGAGGAGCGGCTGTGCCGTCCGCGGGGCCGGCTGCCGGCGCGCTGCGCCTGGTTCGTGCAGGAGCTGCCCTCCTTCCTCGTGCCCGCGCTGCTGCTGGCGCTGCGCAGCCCGCCCCGTCTCGAGCCGCTGGGCTGCCGCCTGCTCTGCTGCCTCTTCTGCTGGCACTACTTCTACAGGTACCGCCGGGCGCTCCGCTGGAGGCCGCGAGCACCTGCCCGTCCGCACGGGCGGAGGGCGGCGTGCGGTGGGCGCGGCGGAGCGGGCGCCGCCGGGAAGGAGCCGGTGCTCGGCGAGGAGGCGATGCTCTCCGCGCTTTCCAGCAAAGAGAGAGAGGTTTCGCTATGCCGGAGCGAAGTTTGGAACGAAACGAAAGCAAACGTTACGCAGAGGAGCGTGCGAAGCCCTCGGTGCGGGCGGGACGCGCGTGGGGCGGCCCCGAGGGGAGAACGGCCGCTGCGGTCCCTCTGGCCCGGAGCGGCACCGCAGCAGCGGTTTCTCCCGGTCTGTAAAATGCAGTGCATGTATACGTCAGAAATTCCGTCGTGCGTATGTCGGTGAATGCCGTCAAGCTTTGTTCTTGTCATCAAAGAGCAAAGCCGCGACCGCTCCGTCGGTGGCAGCGCGGGCAGCGCGGCACAGCCCCGCGGTTGCCGTCGGGTTCTGCAGGTGGCGGGACGCGGCTCCGAAGCGCGCTCAGCGCGGCGATGGGCCCTTCTGCAGCACGGAGCAGGGCCGGCTTTACCTGCCCTCGCGCTTTCGTCTGCCGTGGATCTCACGCGGCGCATCAATGATTTCCCGCTCACGAGAAAACGGCCTTCTCACAAGCGGCGACTTCCCTGCATCCCTCTGCACGGTAGGGTGCGGAGCTTCTGCAGCAAAACCTTTCTCTGCAGGTTCTTCTTCTTTTTTTAATCCAAAGTCATATTTCTATATTTTTCTTTCTTTTCCTTCCTAGAATTAAAAATCATGCAAGGAATAATGCTCCATACATGATTCTTTGCTATCCACCCGCAATCTTAGCACTGAAAGTCTGACTGCGGTGTCTCTACAGGCAGTGAGGGATGGAAACAAACAAATATTGGCTGTAGGAAATGCATTTAAACCAAAAAATGGAGGGAAAAAAAATGGTTTCAAGTGCTAAAATATTTGACAGATGTATTAACCATCACCGCCGTCGTCGTTTTGTTGCTGTGCTAAACCAGCTGGAGGATGCTACCCGTGGCAGGCACGCTGTGCTCCCAGAAATAGGTGTGTTGCACATCTAGTTTAATGCACTCCGCTGTGCTCGTATGCTTCTGGCTGTTTCACAAGCAGAGGTAGGTGAGCACCACCAGGCACGTGAAAGACATGCTGCCCTACCGCTAAGCGCCCATCTCTCAGCCAGGTTCTGCTTGCAGTTGTTGCTGCGGGGCTTGGGCAGAAGCCCCATGTTTTCCTACATTTTCTTTCTCAAATAATTTAGGGGCTCTTCTCACCTGCGGCCAGGGAATACTTATTCCCTTGTAAAAGTAAAAACTCTTATTTAGCCAAGTCTATACAACAACCTGTTTTGCTTCTAATATTGCGTGTCACTCTGGTGTTATTCTTTACAGCAAACCATTCCGAGATGCTTTCAAACCGATCAATATTTGAAATGCTGTGTTATGTATCAGTGCTCCACTGTTATGTAGAAGAGCAAGAAAAAGAGAAAATGAGTTTTTCTGGCTTAGGGCATTTTGCCGGGGTATTTGAGAAGAGGTTCAGCACTTTGATATAACAGCCACTGTTCATCTTTATATTTTTTCAAGTGATTATCTTTACTAGAAATAAGCAAACAGGTTTTAGATACTTTTCTGATTATAGTAAAATATACAATCGGTCAATAATTAAATTACATTAGCTCAGTAGAGGTAGCCTATTGCAGTTCTTTTGACTTTAAAACCGTGATGTGAATAATGATGTTTCTGCTTTTAGTTATATGTATGTCCTGCTAAGCTATTCCTACTTTTCCTACCCACTGCCTGTCATTTGCATTTCAGCATTACTTTATGTTTGTATGAAAATAGCCCCCTTTATACAGAGAAAAGTTTCTTCATCTCTCATTACATATTTTAGCGACATCTTATTCTCTGCAGGGAAGCTCTTATCGTTCCTAATTTTGTCAGCTCTCTTACACCTAACGTGCTGATGGAAGGGCAGTTTCAAACAGAAGGATATTACAGAAGGAATATTACAGAATATCACAGGCTATTACAGTAGCAGAGATTTTTCAGGGCCACTGAGCTGGCTGTTCTGCCTTTCTGTCCACCAGCCCGGCTGTGCTGCCTCAGGAACTCGGGTTTGTCTGAAGCAGATACTTGAGTCCCTCCCAGTCTCGGTCTGAGAGCCCAGAAGACAGAAAATCCATCCTCTATTCTACAGAGAATCTGCTGTTTTCTCTGGTAATTCAGTCTTGTGAATTCTTCCGCTGTCACTTGGCGTGTTTAAAATGTGCTTGAATTTGACTCCCCTTGATTTCCTCCTAATGATGCTTACTGTTTGTTGCTCTGCGCTAATTCAAAGCACCCCATAGCATCCCACTGTATTTTCCGAGCCTGATAACATTCACACCGAAATCAGATCATTTTTCAGCCTGCTTGCTACCGAGCTGTCAGGTCCTCCGCCTTGCACTTGTGTGATCCAGACAGTACAGGAGCACGTATCCTATTTCTGATGAATTGGCTACTGCACACGGTAGGGCGTTTGTGAAGGACTGAGGTGATTTATCTGGTGTCCCGGTGCCAGCTGCAGCGAGCGGACATTACCCCGCCTGACACGCGCTACTCAGTCAGGCACGCAGTCTGTCAGGATAAAGTTACCCTTTCACAAATTTAGGACCAGCCTTAAGCCGGCGTAATGAGGGCGTCCCGCTTTTGCACGCGGTGTCCCGTAGCCGCGACGTTCGGAGGAACCGTTTCTAAACAGAACTGAGCTCCGCCGGCCCTGCGCGTTTCCTCTGCCGCCGCTAGGCTGCAGCCGCCCTCTTCTTGGCGGGCGGGAAAAGGTGCGCGCCGTGCGGCTTCGGAAAGGGCCGGGGTCAGGCTGCGTCTGCCAGGGGAATCCCACATCGCTCCCCTCCTCTTTGCCTGCCGGCCTCGGTTAGCCAGCTCCTCGGCTCCCTCGACGCGTTCTTGATTACCGCGGCGTGGTGGGAATTTAATCGAATCCAAATGGCCCCGTGGCGCTAAAGCAAACGGCCGTAAAAATCGGAACGTTATCACATCTGGTTTAGGTAAGCTCACGGCTTCGCTTTCGCACGGGGAGGCAGAGGAAAGGAGGGAGAAAGTGAGAAGAGCAGTAAATACCAAGTCCGCCATCTGCGGCGGTCTCTGGGGAAAGCAGCCGCGAGAAGGAAACGATGAGCGTACAGGAACTGTTCGGCGTCAGTGACCTATGAAGGATTTGGTTTGAAACGTAGTTCGCCAAGGGGCTGTGCGGGAAGAGCAGCTGAAGCCCTCAGGTGGCGGGAGGAAGCCTGTTGGCTGCGTTTCCGTTTTGCAGCCCCGCTTCAAGAACCGAGTGGGGTAACAGGAAATCAGGGGATGAGAGGATGGCATCACGATGGAATTCCGTATAGAGTTTAGCACTGCATTTCTCTTAGAACCAGAATTGGGTAAAAAGTGAGAAATACAGAGAGGGAAAAGACATGTCACCTTCAGTAGTAAGGGGAAAGTCTTGTCTCTCTGAGCTACAGAATGTTTTCCTCTGCGAGTGCAGAAAAAACAGATTTGCTTTTTGAAGTGCACTCAAGTCAGGCTGAAAGGCACTAAGAGGCCACTCTTTCAGAGACAGCTGGATCCCCATCCCGCTTTGATTGTAGATTACCCATTTGGTGTGCCTGTACTTGGTTTTCTACAAATCAAGATCTCCCTTAAAAAAATGAGGGAAAGTGTTTTGTACTGGTTCATAAGGTCACTCTACCATTTTCATGCACTCTCTCCTGCCCAGTCCATGAGTTTAACTTTTTGCAAGTCATCTCAGTGAGTTTCAGTAATGCCAACTATATCCTATTTCTTCTTGTGAGTGAAAATACTAGATTCACTGCTGTTTTCAGTAAGGTACCTGCATAAGTAGTCAACTGAAAAATCTCTTTGCATGGTTTACCACAGAAGTGTAAAGTGTTCACACATCCAATGCTCGCATTGAGTTTGCTTCATTGCAGTCTCCTCTAGCATTACTAAATACTCTCCCGGTTAGTCCCTCATAATAGAGCACCAGCTGATTGCCTTCCTTGCTGTTAGTACAAATGAGCTCATTTATATGTTCTTTTTCCACTGGAAAATGGCCTCACATTACAGACACCTGCGGTTGTTGCCCAGCCAGAAGTGTGCCAAAATAAATTTTCCTTATATCCCTTGGAATGGAAGAAAACAGGTGGAGGAAACTCAGACTTTTATCTTTCTTCACATCTTTTCAAGATGACACTCTCGTTATTCAGTACATCTCTACATGATGTGGATTGTTCTGTGCTGTTTTGTCATTACCATGCAGCTTTGCAAACTGTTATGGCTCTGTATTTATAAACAAAGTTTTCTTCCCAGATGGGTTCCACTGTGTGCCATCCTCTTGCTTTCTATTTCCTGTCATGCCCATCATTCCCACTGTGTTACTAAGGCCTAATTACTGTACCTGGTTGGTTCAAGGTTTTGTACTCATGTGCTGCCCTGCATTCCAGGTGATGTTTGCTGTTTTGCGCCAGTCCACTGCCCTAAGCTCTATATACTTAAGGTCTGCTCTGTCCTCTGGAAAGGAAGTATGGCACGCACAGAGCAGGCTGCAGAAGCTTTTCCTTTGTTCGGTCCATTACCAGATCCCTGCTGTTGAAATGAGAAGAGCTGAACTAAGACAGAGAAGAAAAAAAAAAAAAAAAAGACTAAAGTATGTACAGGCATTTCAGTAAATGTTTTTACTTTAAAATAACATTGTTTCTACCAAACAAGGAAATTTTGATTATGGGATGTCAGTGGTATTCCCTTATTAGGGCTGCTCTTTTAAGTCAGAAATAAAATACAAGGGAAAGGAGTTAAGATTCATTCCATACACGCAGCAAGGCATTTGTTGAGGACTTTACTGTTTCAAGGTCCACAAATCTATTTTTCTGATTTCATATCATAAGAGAGACAGTCTTTATGAGGGAAGGTAGTGCTTTTTTAATGAG